GAGTGATTGCACCGAAAAGAAAACCTGCTGGAAAGGAAGTCGAAAGGAAAAAAGAATGTGTCCTACAGTTCTCCACGTTAAGCTTGTAATTGTTTGGCCGACCCAAGGTCTTTACCATGGATATAATCCATCCGACTCGTACCATGCAGGCTCCCGAATGGCCTCAATGGGGGAGAGTAAGTTCATCCAGAGCCATAAACTCAACCATGCTGCAAACTGTGTCGCCTCATGTTCAATGCGTGCGATGCAAGCCATTTTGCTAGGCACGTCTGCCATGCTTCGGCAGTACATTCACCGAACAAGACGGCGCATACAAGCAAGACTGTCCGCTTAAGAAGTGCACACGCAGACAGGCCTCAAGTAACAGAAGCACGGATTGTAGTTTTTGTGATTGTTTTGTAATGGTAAGGTGGGAGATGTTATCTTGACAGCATTCGACCTTCAGCTACATGGAGGGGATGGTTAAACGACGTTATCAAGGAAGCATCGTCCACATTGGCAAAACTCGACGTTTCAGCCTGTGCTCATGGCCACGAGAATGACATGCGTGATATTTCATCTTTTGACCCATTAGGGCTACGATCTGGGGCTAATTTGTACGGAGAACATTGCACGGAGAACAGACATTGAGAACATTGTACGGAGAACAAATGTTCTCGTTCTCTTAGTTTTAGGAATTTGGCATTTAAGTTCAGTTATTTTTATGCTGAGTTATCAACCTTAAATATACCAGAAGGTACTACCTAATTGGCGACATAGAGCGAACACCAACCATATTGTATGGGCCATCGCAACGTTTCTCCCCTGACGTCATTGCGCCTTGCTTAAAGGGAATGCTCCACATTACAAGATATTGTAGCAAGCATCATATATGATGAAATTAGCTTACTTATAGCTCCTTGTACAATTTTCAGTAGAGAAGATTACTCTAGGCAGCCCAATTTCTCTATGCAGTAAATATGGTCCTCAGTGCCTCATTATTTGATGACGTCATCGCACCTTGCAAAACATTGGTTGAGAGCCATTTGACGGCCGTTATATACGGAACTCGTGCTCATGAGGGCCGGATGTGAACGACTGGACAATTAGTTTGTCGTGGCCTTGGTCACCGGAATGGCAGGATTTATATGACCTTGTGGTGTCATGGATGCCTGGGTGGCCTTGAAATAGTCTGCACGAAAAAGTCTGCCCATCTTCGCGAGCATGTAGCCCAGAACCTAGAGAGGTTTAGCTCTTAAGAAGGGCAGGGTTGCGAAAAGCACCGAATGATCTTTAAGATGTCTATTTCAGTTCGAAACGCCACACAAATTAGAGCACTCGCTTTAACATTACTCAGCTTTCTTCACTCGTGATCACACACCTAGCTTAAAACGTTGGTGTTGTTAAGACAGCCAACGTTCGCTCTATACTATCATTTAACCAGTACCTCATGTTAGAATGTCGATAACTCGGCATGAGAACTCTGCATTCATAATGCAGAAAAACCGGCTGCTGGATGTCTTTCTTATAAATATCACATCTGTCACCTGTTGATGTCTGCCGCGTTAGGTGGTTGGATTGCTTTGCAGGATCGCACAATCCGGGCTACAGCTCTTAACAAATTGGTTAGTAATTGGTCATGAACATGAATTGGTCAACTACCGTTGCTTATTTCGACTACCCTGACATAAAAGACGCCTGTGTATAGACGTATGCACCGTGGCGTGTGCGAGCTAGCACACGGCATTGATCTACACTGAAACATGCCCCCCACGTGACGCACGACTGACGCGTGGTGGTGAGGATCCCTCCGGACTGGTACAGCATTGACTTGCAATACCGTGTCAACTTGATTAACTTTTTTATAAACACATACTGTCGGAGCTCCTTTCAGCAGTCATTTACGGGTTAGCCAGACTTCACATAGGCACAGACAACACCAGCTTTCTGCTACGTGCGCATCTTAACTAAATGGATTTGTGAAATTAAACTCAGTCCAAATCACCAACAAACATAATTGCCTCGTAAAGCAACAGACATGAGACCGCCCACTAAGACCGACAGCCAAAGAAAGACCACGTGGTAATCGCGAACAAGGAGACCGCATAGCAAAACCAACGCACAGGGACCACCAAATAAATTAGACACTCATATATCACACCATCTAGAACAAGAACACTATTAACAGGACTGGCTCCAATGCGCCCGCACATCTGCTCCCGACCGACTTATCCCGCGTGTAGGTACAAGGGGATGAACACAACGGCAACAGCCACCACGACCAGCCCTCAGTTTCAGCGGGTGAACTGGCTCGTGCAAAGGACGAGCGTGGGGAAATCAGAGGGTAAAAGCGGCGTGTCCAGGAATGAGAACGGCGTAGTTCATGGGGTAAGACCGACAAGCTCAGTTGGGTGAAGCGGGCAGGTTCAAACGGGTGAAACCTGTAAGCGCTAATGGTAAGGCCGGCATGCTCAAGCGGGTAAAGCAGACAAGATCTAACAGATGAAGCCTGGAAACGCCAGTGGTAAGGCCGGCAAGCTCAACCAGCTAAAGCCGGCAACCTCAAGCAGCTAGAGCCGACAAGCTCAAACGGGTGAAGCCGACAAGCTCAAACGGATGAAGCCGGCAAGTTCAGATGGAGAAAACAGACAAGCTCTAACAGATGAAGCCGGCAAACGCAAATGGATGTAACCGGCATTACTGATGAAACATCCCGCCCAACCAGCACACATCTGACTGGACGCGAGCTCACGTGTTCCAACGGCGACGGTACTCCTAACACGACCGGCGGCCAGCTGCTCCGAACCAATACTGATTATCCATTTTCGAAGGGGCCTTTTTATTTTGAAATTGATTGATTGATCGGTTGATTGATTGTTGATTATCGCACCGGTCATGATTATAATGGGCAATTTCGATTCAAGAGCCAGGCCATCACAAAACCCGCTGCAGCTCCGACGTCGAACAACAGTCTCGCATTGCGGGCCGCGATCGGCGACGCTCAGCCGGTTGTGTCGATTACGGACCACGGTGGCGCGGCGGGTCTTCAGCGTGGCGAGCGTGGTCCGCGGTCCGGTGGAGGCGGCGGCCACTGGCCTCGCACGCGGCCGGTGGTCCTGTTGGTGGCGACACATGCCAGCGGGCGATGTCGGCTCCAGCTGCGAATGACGATCGATATCAGTCACAGCTATTTGATCCAATTGTGGCGATTAAAGGGAATGTTCCACGTTTGAAGATGTTGAGGCAATTAGCAGATATGATAGAACACGCTCAGTTGTAACTGTTGGTGTGCTCTTAAGGCTGAAGACTTTTCATGAAGTTTCATTAATCAGTAGATATGTTCCACATTACGCCATGGTTTGATTACGTCATTGTGCCTTGCACAACATTGATTGGGAGCCAACTGACGGCCGTGATATCTGAGCATTGTGCTCACTCAGATATGAACAGATTGTGCCCAGATATGAACGACTCACTCGACAAATATATGTCTTGGCCTCGATCGCCGCAGGCTGAATGGAATGACGGGATTTAAATGGCATTTTTGTGGCGTCATGGATGCCTGGGTGATCTCGAAATAGTCTCCCCGAAAAAGTTTGCACATCTTCACGGGCGTATAGCTCAGAAACTAGAAGGGTCACGCTTTGTCTCGCCCATGTATGTGCTTGAGTGGGTTTGCATCGCTGGCAGGCGACGGGGTACACGGCGTTTTGCGTTGTTGGCAGCTATAGCGAGCACACCCGAGATGTAAAAAAAAACAAAACATAAAAACCTTTGGTAAACGCTTCAGCAGCGCACGCCATACGGAACCCGTCGACACAAACTCACCCTAATTATTCGTCGTGAAGATCTGTGATGATGCTGCTGCATAAGACATTGTGAGACCAATTCAAACAAGAAATCCAGACATACGCTTAACCCCATGACTTCTTCCTGGAGTCTCGTGAAGCCTGTCTCGTATGAAACCGCCAAGCAATACAATTTGTCTTCAGTAAACAAGTTCGAGATAACGTGGTCCGAGGTTAGTCTGTGATAAAATGCAGCGCAGAACAGAGGCATTCCCAGTTAACAGCCGTCTTTTCTGAGTTAAGAGAACCTCGGCGCCTTGCCACCATTGTGATTTCGGACTCGAAGAACTTTAAAGCATCCTGCTTGCTTCGCAATCGATGTCATTTTGCACTTATTGTCGCGATCTCAGTCACAACACGCGAACATATCTTAACAAATGAACACTCATCTATCAAGTTGCGCACACTTCTGTTCCGTCACAGACTACACGGCAGAGATAAGGAGCCAGGAGATCGCTGCACTTTTCCAAACGCTTCCCATGGGAGCACAGCTCAGAAGGCAGGCGGAAGACCGCCGGGGTCCGTTCAACGGGCGGCCAGCCTGCCATTCTGGCCATGCCATCCTAATCCACTCATTCAGATCCTCAGCTTTCCTAACCTTCCATTTGATTTGCATTCTGTACCACTGTTGCTGGACGTCTTTACACACGTTGCATTAGCCGTCAGCGAGCTTAGAGAGCTGGCATTTCGGTCTAACTTTCTCGGCTCACGATTTACGACTTTTTGCTGCTGGGAAACTTTTACGAGTGGTGTGTGCGTAGCGTATTACCGGGCAAAATAGTAAATCGTGAGTCGGGAGGCGTGGAGCGACGCATAGTCACTCATAAGAGACGGCTGTCGGGACTGTGATGTGTTATTGTAGTGCTTGCACCATGCAGACGGCCTTATCGGATTCCGCCTTACTCAGAGGACATTACTCAGCGGGGCTTTACTCAGGGACACAGCCGTATCGGACGGTTGGGTCAGTACACCCGGTGGCACACAGGAACAGCAGCGGGCTAGGGCGTCCACGGCTGCTTATAGACAGCGCGACAGGGTGTATCGGTCGTGTGGCGGCCCGGGCCGCGTAAATACCCCGCCCCGCCGCAGCGGCACGCGTGTGGCCGTTCCCACGTGAGGGCGGGGGCCGGCGTCGGTGACGTCAGCGGAGCCGGCGCGGTCGCCGCCGCCCGGCCGGCTAGTGTTGAGACCGTCGCCGCCGGGACAGCAGCGGCGCGCGCACCGCTCTTCGGCACCGTTAGCCGCGCGGCGGCCCGACTAACACAGAAACACACTAACAGCCTGCGCGGCGCCGCCGTGAGACAGCCCGGCTGCCGAGCCGCGCCGGCGCCGTCCGGCCCAGCACTCGACGAGCCGCCCGCCCTGGGCGTGTGTGCGCGTGAGCGCGTGTGTGGGTGACCCCGCGGTGCGCGTGCGACCCCTGGGTCCAAGGGTGATCCAGGCGCACGATGGCCGATAAGCGCGGAAGTTACGACCTGGGCAAGAGCGAGCAGGTGAGTGACAGGGCAGCTGCCGCGCCCCGGTTGCCCCCGCGCGGCCGGGGCGACGGCGTCGGCGAGCTGGGCCGGGCTGTGCCGGCTGCTCGGGCCTCCCTGCGTGCGCTCCAGCGTTGGGTCAACGACCTCAGGTTGCAGAGAGCTGCTTAGGCACGTTATTTGGGAGGTGGAGGCACTGGTCGGTGTGAGCGACCTACGCTTTGATTGGTTATGCTGTGGTGAGGGTAGTCGATTTCTAAAATTGGCGGAATAAACATAGCACAGGATCTGTGACATTCTGGTTTGTCGCCAAGTGCCCAGCGGGTTATCCGCAACTTACATGAAACTAGTTTGAAACCGCCTCATTTCAATTCGGGGACCCACGCATCAGCTCTTTGCTATTCTATCCTCCACCGACTCATCATGTGTTGTCCTAACACCTTTCCCGAATACGCCCCTTTTGCGCTGTGAACCCTCTTGATATGGAATGCTTTGGTGTTCAGAACACATGCGTATGCGTAAACAAGTGGCCAAACAAGCCTTTCATTTGGTTGCGCTGAAATTTTCGTTTGTGTTGTGGAGAGGACGTTTCTACTTACTTTCGGGACCACGTACCACCTACTTTATCTACGTCATTAATGCTAGTGGAGCAAATCAATCTGTGACTGCATCTGAGCTTTAACCAATAAATTGCGTCGACATAGGTATATGGGTCATATGTACCGCGTGGGCCACGGGTGCCCAGGTCCGCATATCGCATGTTCCGCCGATGCGGTGCCCCTCACGGAAATCGATCCCTAAGCTTCACTATTTCACCTTTTATTGGCGAAAGTTGGCGTCTGAAGAGTGATAGACCCGGACAGGTTTGGGGCAGCTTAGATAAGGGATAACAACAAACCGTGTCACACAACCGGATCGTCGCGATGGGGAAAGTGAAAACCTCGCGTCCGTAAAGCCTGACCTGTTCATCTGTTCATCTCTGCCGCAAGGTATAGCTCACCGACAGCGTCCAGTAGCCTCTCAGTCAGCTCCCAGTGACCTCCCAGTCAGTTCCTAGTCATCCCTCAGTCAGCTCCGAGTTACCTCTCAGTCAGCTCCCAGTGACCTCCCGGTCAGGTCCTAGTCATCGCTCCGTCAGCTCCGAGTTACCTCTCAGTCAGCTCCCAGTCACCTGTCATTCAGATCCCAGTCACCTCTCAATCAGCTCCCAGTCACCTTTCTGTCAGGTCCCAGTCACGCCTCTGTGAGCTCCCAGTCACCTCTCAGTCAGCTCCCAGTCACCCCTCAATCAGCTCCCAGTCACCTCTTAATCAGCTCCCAGTCACCTCTCAATCTGCTCCCAGTCGCCTCTCTGTCAGCTCCCAGTCACGTCTTTGTGAGCTCCCAGTCGCCCCTCAATCAGCTCCCAGATACCTCTTAATAAGCTCCCAGTTACCTTTCAGTCAGCTCCCAGACACCCCTCAATCAGCTCCCAGTCACCTCTCATTCAGCTCCCAGTCACATCTCAATCATCTCCCAGTCACCTATCAGTCAGCTCCCAGTCACCCCTCAATCAGCTTCCAGATACCTCTCAATCAATTCCCAGTTACCTCTCAGTCATCTCCCAGTCACCCTCAGTCTGCTTCCAGTCACCTCTCAGTCAGCTCCCAGTTACCTCTCCCTCCTCGTCAACTCACAGCCAGCGCACGGGCAGCTCCCAATTAAGACGCAGTGGTTGTTGGGGCCACTACACACCATTTGACCCATGTAGACGTTACAAAAATGACATGCTACATGACTGAAAGGTCTTGATGGCCACATCAAGTGATGTCTCTATAGAGCTTAAGGCGTATATGCATACCACTTACCAGATCCTGTTAGATAAAACATTCCGTTGTATCGTCAAGTTAAATCGGGATTTAGATTGCAGACATTATGGATGGACAGCTGCATATGAGATATGGCTTGGTGTTTCACACAGGTGTGGCATGAAGGTCACTTTCAATGGTCAAGGACAAGAAGGAGTGGCGGTTAAAAGTAAAAGTATTAGTTCGTTCTCGGTCAGTCAGCTGTTGAAAAGTTAGGGCGGATGATTAAATCTGCATCAGCAGTTCAGGGTCTACAGCTTTAGGAACTGGTAGAACTTGCCCCGGTTGTGATACACCCGGGTTATGTCACCGTCACCTGACCCGTCGGCCTTCATTCAGTCCTCACATGCTCGCCTGTTTCCAATCAGAGGCAATTATCGCTAGCTTTAGAAATCGGACCTTTGCCATCTGGAGAGCAATGCGACCAATCAACTGGCCGGATAGCGCACGCGGCCGACTGCAGCGCACCCCTCAATAACGCGTGCCCAACGCATCCGCCTCCGTCTCGGGGAACCCGGATGAGCGTCGCGAAATTAGTGCTCCGGAAAAACCTACCGTCGCGAGTGCTACATCAGTTTTACGTGACATTACTTCTTCAAAAATAAGTTTCGTCGTGTAGCACTAATGTCGCGTTTAAGTTTTTGCAGTAGAAATAGTGTCAGGTATGCGTGATGACTGTATAAGTGTTTGCAGTAGGAGAAATGACAAGTATAAGCTTTTGCAGCATACGTTTTGTCGCGTAGCGCAAATGTTATGCATAAGTGTTAGCAGTAGAAGTACCGCCATAGCTCGCCTGTCGATAGGACTTTCTGTTGTAGCACTAATGCTGTGGAGCCTTTTCACCGAATCTGCTGGCATTATGTCGGCCCACAACCCACGCCCGCCGCTTTGGTGGCCGGAATGTGGGCGTCGCTCGCAGTTAATGCGTCGGTGGGTGCCGCATCCGGCGACCGAATCCCGTCCGAAGCGCAATTACACGATTTCGCGTCCGCAGCGTCATTGGCTCGGAATTCCAGCGCCGATGCCGGTGACTGCCGCGCCGCTCCTGCGGCGCCTCCTCTGGCCGAATGAGGTGCACGGTGCGCTGGCGGGTTACGCTCGCCGCCGCCGGCCACGGGACGCATCGCGCGACCCGGGCCCCGGCCGCGCGGGAGCGGATCAGGGCCCCGGCCGCCTGTCGGCACAGGAGCGGATCCATGCCCCAGCCGCTTGTAGGCGCGGGAGCGGATCCGAACCCCGGCCGCTCGTCGGCGCGGGAGCGGATCCGGGCCCCGGCCGCCTGCCGGCGCGGGAGCGGATCCGAACCCCGGCCGCCTGTCGGCGCGGGGGCACGCGGACGGCGTGCCGGTCCCGGCGGCGAGGATGCTTGGAGAGCCTGGCTCTCGGACCTGACGCGGACATCATCAGGCTGACGCCGGGATAGGCACAGTGGTCCTGTCTGTGACGTTTTACTCCCACCCGCGTGGAACACCTGCGTCCACCGTTATGAACACAACTGAAGGCATGCTACAGATGTGGTCGCGTCGGAGGCGTGAGGGCCCCCGTCCGCGACGGTTGGCCAGTTCGAGCCTGTTGCTTGCTCCGATGACGTCCACGGCTGGCTGGCAGAGCGTCCCGGGCCGATTACACTCCCGTGCTCCGCCGCCTGCCGCCTCGCATAATGACGCCGCCAATCCTTACAAACGGGGTCGAGCGGCCTCCTCCGCATCCGCGCGGAGCTCGCGGCGCCTCGAGCGTGCACGATCTATGGAGCGCAGGCCTTCAGCCGCCGTCGTCCAAGTCCGTGCCGCTAACGCCGGATTTGCGGGGCCGGTCAAGGGCCTCCAGTGCCGGCCGCGGCTCGGCGGCGATATTGGGGAGAGGTGGGTGAGAGGGCGGGCCGTCTCGGCGCGGTCTTCCGCGCGGACTCGCTGGCGGCCTTGCCTGGCTCGCGCGCCCGTGGAAACGGGGCGCGAGATGTGCTCCATCGCCGCTTGCAATTTTCGTCGGCTCTCACGCAGATGTTGGCTGTCTGCTCCCGGAACCAAGCAGCTGATGCTCGTGGTGCCGGCCGGCTGCTGCCCGGCGCGCTCCCGTGCGATCGCAAACACGTGCGGACACCAGTGTCACCTCCAACACCGGCGTAAGCTCCGACTGCCCCCGCACTTGCGCACAGCCAGGCTCTGTGCTTGGGTCCGGTCGCCCGAGCCATTACCGGTTCTGGAGTCCGGTGCCCGGGCCGGTCCACTGTCCGGGCCAGTCCGGTGTCCGGGCCATCCCCGCGCCGGGTCCGGCGCCCGGGCCGGTACGGTGCCCGTGCCTGTCCGGTGCCCGGGCCATCCCCGTGCCGGGTCCGGTGCCCGGGCCGGTCCACTGTCCGGGCCAGTCCGGTGCCCGGGTCATCCTCGTGCCGGGTCCGGTGCCCGGGCCGGTACGGTGCCCGTGCCAGTCCGGTGCCCGGGCCATCCTCGTGCCGGGTCCGGTGCCCGGGCCGGTACGGTGGCCGTGCCTGTCCGGTGCCCGGGCCATCCCCGCGCCGGGTCCAGTGCCCGGGCCGGTACGGTGCCCGTGCCAGTCCGGTGCCCGGGCCATCCCCGTGCCGGGTCCGGTGCCCGGGCCGGTCCACTGTCCGGGCCAGTCCGGTGCCCGGGCCATCCTCGTGCCGGGTCCGGTGCCCGGGCCGGTCCACTGTCCGTGCCTGTCCGGTGCCCGGGCCATCCCCGCGCCGGGTCCGGTGCCCGGGCCGGTACGGTGCCCGTGCCTGTCCGGTGCCCGGGCCATCCCCGCGCCGGGTCCGGTGCCCGGGCCGGTACGGTGCCCGTGCCAGTCCGGTGCCCGGGCCATCCCCGTGCCGGGTCCGGTGCCCGGGCCGGTACGGTGGCCGCGCCAGTCCGGTGCCCGGGCCATCCCCGCGCGGGGTCCGGTGCCCGGGCCGGTACGGTGCCCGTGCCTGTACTGGACAGTTGGCGTGCCGGCGGGATTGACCTAGAAACGGCCGTCTGTCGCTGGCGTCCCGGCCGCCTCTCCCAGCGCGAACGGGGTCAGCGGCGCACCGCGCGGCGGGAGCCGGTCCGCGGACTGGCCACGTGCCGTCCCCGAGGCCGTGCTGGGGTGGACCTTCAGACATGGCCGGGCCTCTGACAGATCCTCTTAAAGAAACTTGTTGTTTTCTACTATTTTGTAGAAGCTCTT